TAGTCTTAGTTGCTGGGGGATTTGAGCTGGAGAGTTGTGATCTTGCTATATATATATATATATATATATATATATATATATATATATATATATATATTAATTAATTAATTTTTGGCTGCCCATCTTACCACAGGATAACTCTGGGCAGCTTACAACTTTCACATATACATATACATACATATATACACACATAAATGTTAAAACCAACCATTAAAATACAATTACAGGTGGGGAGGACGGGGGCAGGGTAGGGAAGGTGGGACCTGCTGTTCCTTAATCAGCCACTCCACTGAGCTACTCTTCCTCCATTGGTACCCAAGCTAACTGGCAGAGCCAGGTCTTGAGGCACGAAAGGATAGGATTGGGGTCAGAGGTGGGATTCAAATTTATTAACCACCAGTTCTGAGGGTGTGGCCTAATCTGTGGATGTGACTTGGTGGTCATGTGACTGGCTGGGCATGTTTTATATGTAAATATTATAAATATTTATGTAAATATTGAATTTTTTATTTAAAAAAGAGCAACTTTTACCTCAAATCAGGCAGGTAGATTGAGTTGCTCACAGATTCACTTAGAGATCTGTGTTTCTGCCATCTGCTACCTGAGTCTGCACTGAATAATAGAAGCTTCTGGCTCAGCTCTACATTTAGATTAGCTAGAAAGCAAGAAATCCAATGATTTCCTGCTTTCTAGCTAATCTAAATCTCCTGGCACAGCAGAACAGCTGATGATCGGGGAAAAAAAGGAAAAATAGCAATTTAACAGGCAAGTTTGATGGCACATGCCAGATAGGGAGTGAATGGGTGGGGCGGGGCCAGCCAGTGGCACAATTTGCCAGTTCTCTGACAGGTAGAATCCCACCCCTGGTGAGTGTGCGTTTTGCGCGTATGTAGACCATTTCCTAAAAACCTCAGCTGTGCCGCCCAAACAGATGACAAGCGCTGTGTGAAAGTGCGCAGCGTTTGAAAATCCTCTTTCCTGCTTTTTCAACCTCAGCTGTGCCACGCAAAGCAGTTGAGGTTGAAAAAGCAGGAAATAAAGGACAACCAATTGCCCGGGCGGGCGGGTAGGCCAAGCAGAGGAGCAGACACCAACCGGTTTGGTGTCTGCTGCTCTTCAGAGCTACTGCTTCCATAGAACCAGACCGAACCGCTAGCATCCCACCCCTGATTGGGGTCAACATCACATCGGGCCCAAGATGTTCCAGAGGGAAGATGCCAAAGCAGAGAAGGCCCTTCTCTGGGACCCCACCAGCTGGGATAAACAACTTTTTCTCTTGAACTGGAGGCGGGGGAAAAATCATCTCCAAAAGTTAATTGACTAGAGACTTTGAGGACTCTGGGTCTTTGCAGGCTTTAGCTGTTTATCTGATTGCAGTCTGCAGTTTAGTTAAGTTCTAACTGAACTTCCTTATGTCTTTTATCAGTACATCTTTGCCTTCATTTTCTTCTATTATACCCATCCTTTGCATATTTCTTGATTTCTGTAATCTCTGTTTGATATCTGAATATTCATCTATAGCTCCTTGTCTTTCCTTGGTGCTCTGGAACTCAAGATATAGCTGGACATATTTTCCTCTGTTTCTTTTTGTCTTTCCTTCTGTCATTTTCATTTTATTAGTAGATATGTCATTTTTGATTTTTGCATTTTAGGATATTTTTGCTTGATGATTGATATTGAGCCATATTTTTTTGCAAGAGTTCATCATCTGAGTCAGACTTAGCACCAAGTCTTATATTTGATTTGTGAATAGAGCTTCTCCATTTATGTTTAAAGAAAATATAGTCAAATTTTTCTATTGTCCATCTATTTGAGGTCCATGTGTAGAATTTATTTTTTATTGTTGAAAGAAAGTTGTTGTAAATTTTTGTTTTCTTAGCAGAATTATACTACTGCTTTAAAAATAAAAAACTGGATTTTTCTTGGAAATGAACGATTGTGGCTGTTATGAGAGAATAATTTGGAGTAATATGTTATATATATTTTAATAGATATAAGCAGGCATGATATTTAAGGAAAAATCCAGTACTGATTTTTAATATAGCAAGTTCGGCCTATTCTTTATGTTTAACTATGCTACACTACCTATGGAGATTTTCAATCATCTGGGTCATAGTTGACCCAAAGATACTTTTTCCCCTGAAAGGCAATTAAATACAGTACTTAATAGGGTAGGAAAGCCATTTGATTCCTTCCTCTCGTAAAGACATATTGCAAAACTGATGGAAGGAAGATGGAAAGTTGTAGTAGTATGCTGCTAAAAACTAACAGGTTCATAGTCTACAGATACTTTCCTTTAAAAATAACTATATGGCTTAAAGCCCTACATAGATAGCATGTGGACTTAAAAGAAGACCTTATGTGGGAAGTTTATGAATATCATTTAAATCCTAAAAAAAAAAATTGCATCAAGATTTGTTAAAAGTATATATTTGCTTGTGTTTAACGAGGTTGCTTTACTCCAGAATCTGATAAGAAAAAGTTTGTAATGTTTAGAATAGATTAGTCCAGGAACTTAATGCCATCTGTGCATTGACAACATTTTAGGAAGCTGTTATAACTTGATGCTGCTTCCTTTAAAAACTACAATCTTTCCCAACATCAGGGTTCTTCCCCCCCATGACTCTTCTCCTTTGGTGGCCAGAATTTCAGTTTCAGTAATTCTGTGTGATGTTCTATGGAAACTAAAGTTGGACTTTAAAGAAGCAGGATAACAAAAGTGTTGGTGCCCTTGTTATATATATTAAGAAAGGGCAGGATAAAAATCTAATAATAATCTAATAATGTTTAAATAGTAAGAATTTTTAAAATAAATAATTAATAATAATAATTTAAGTCCATGGCAGATAACATTAGGAAGGGGCTCAGATATTTCCTAATTAATAATTAGTAGGTATACTGTAATCAGATATGCAAGATTTTGTTATTATAGCAAATCTGAATAAAGTAACCTCTTGTGGAGTTGATTTCTTCATCTGTTTCTATGGTCTAGGGCTGACATTTGTGGGTCATACTTGTTAAGAAATTTGGTAGTTTTTAGATGCCAAGCTAAAGCCTGAGAATTCAAGAGGGCTTTAATTCTCACATTATATCTAGGAAAATAGATTGCTGTTGACTGAAATTTTAAGTAAACATTTTGTTAATTTGGCCTGCTTGATATGTTTTTGTTTTATTTAGTACTTTTCATCAGCTACTATGGAAAATATGAACTAAAGATGGTTGTTAAATATATAAATGAATAAATAAATATCACTTTAGTCTTTTTAGAGTGCACCGCTTCTGAATACTGGGAGCGCTCCTTTATCAAGTGGACTGTGCAGACTAGAAAACTAAGTGCTTATTCTAGTTAATTGAAAAAGCTTCCCCGATATATTTTGTAAAACTGCTCCTGCTTCTCATTTTTATCACAGTGAATGCTAAAAAACAGTTCATTAGGTGTTTGAATTCTGGTGCCCGTATCTCAAGTTTGATTATTGTAATTCATTAAAGTAAGATTATGGATAACAAGTAACGTTTTGATATTTCTTGCAGCAACAAGAATTTTTTATATAAAATATAAAATTTTATATAAAATTTATATAACATTTATATAAAAGTCTAACTAGTATTAAACTGCCAATGCCAGCCCACTAAAACCTGCTCCTTAAAATGAATGTAAAATTGAATGATTCTGCCTAAAGTATCTTTTAATAGATAAACAACAGGCCAGTTGTGTGATTTCTATCTTTGTGTTTTCCTAAACAGCAGAACAATGTAAAAGCTTAGAAACAGAATAGAGGTTAGAGACCCTCTTCAATGTTTTCTTCCCTGTCAAATTAGAGCAACATATAATCAGCTTTTCTATAGCATGTGGCATTCCTTTGCCTTTAAGTAGTAACTGCCCACTAAAGTCCTTCAGTATTGCTTACACCAGGAGTGTCAAACTTGCATCGTCATGTTGGTGTCATGTCGGAACTTTTCCCCCCTTTGCTAAACTGAGCGTGGGTGTGGCCAGCCCGTGACACATCCGGCCCATGGCCCGGAAGTTTGACAGCCCTGGCATCAGCATCTGGCAAATGTTGTCCTTGGCCTTGAATGGTATGTGAAAAGTCCCTCTCCAGAAGGAAAGTGGGGGCCTGGATGAAAATATTTCATTTCCTATTCATTTAGTGAGGTGGAGTATAATTATTGCAATTATCTACCCCAGTCATATTTTACTTGTTATTTTGATGGCTTTGTTGGTCAGGTGCAATTTATGAATTAGGGGTGACATGATAGCAGTATTCCAGTATTTGAGGGGCTGCCACAAAGGCAAGAGGGTCAAATTATTCTCGAAAGTACCAGAGGGCAGGACAAGAAACAATGGTTGGAAACCAATCAAAGAGAGAAGCAACCTGGAATTAAGGAGAAACTTTCTAACAGTGAGGACAATTGACCAGTGGAACAGTTTGCCTTCAGATATCATGGTTGCTTCATCACTGGAGGTTGTTAAGGAGAGACTAGATAGTCACTTATATGAAATGGTATAGGTTCTCCTGCTTGAGCAGGGGGGCTGACTAATAGATTTAACAGATAATCAGAGTTGGAAGGGACTTTGTAGGTCATCTAGTCCAACCCCCCTCCCAAGCGGGAGATCCTACACCATTTCTGACAAATGGCAGTCCAATCTCTTCTTGAAAGTCTCAAGTGATGGCACTCCCACAACTTCCGAGGGCAAGCTGTTCCATTGGTTGATTGTTCTCACTGTCTGAAAGTTTCCCCTTATTTCCAAGTTGAATCTCTCCTTGTTCAGTTTCCATCCATTATTCCTTGTCTGGCCTACAGGCACTTTAGAAAATAGCTTGACCTCTTCCTCTCTGTGGCAGCCCCTCAAATATTGGAACTGCTATCATGTCTCCCCTGGTCCTTCTCTTTACTAGACTAGCCAAGCCCAGTTCCTGCAATCGTCCGTTGTATGTTTTAGCCTCCAGTCCCCTAATCCCCTAACTAGAAGACTCCCAACGTTCCTTCCAGTTCTGTTATTCCATTCCATTCCATCTCACCAGTCTCTGGCAAATTCAGGGACAAGATATGGTATGACTACAACTTCAGGTGAAATGTTGAAGCCATTCTGTGTTTTCTGAAATGTAGTGTTAAGTAGAGACTAAGCACTTGCTCATAAACAAGGGGCAGTCAGATGATGAATTTAAAGTTGCCATGTAGATCAATTTTCTGTGTACAGCTCAGCCGAATATAAAATTGCAAAGTGCTATTTCTAAAGATTGCCATAACTTCTAGTATATTCTGGTACAGTTATAAAGTGCAGATACACAACCCTTTTCAGGCTGAAGCTGCACTAGGTATTTTAATGGCTTGCCCACAGCCATATATAAAAAAGCAGGGGAGAGGGACAGGACATAAAGGTAATAAAATATATGTTACTTAGAGTAAATATGATTATATTTAATATTTGCTTTTTTACACTCTATTTATTTACATGATATAGGGATGATCTGATTCTAAATGACTAGACACTTTTATAGTTTAAAAGCAAGAAACAATAAAAACAGGTGATATGTATGCAAAAGGGAAAAAGGCATACAAACAACTCAAAATCTGAAAGGAACTCAACAGCTTCTTTACCCCAAGACCTGGGGAAAAAACCCATTTTCTGAATATCATCAAGATGGGAGCCATATGGATTTTGGGGAATGCTGTTCCATGCCAAAGATGGGATGCTTCCAAAGTCCCACTGTGTAATTTTATTTGATTAAAGAGACTTGCAGTATACCCACTCTGCTGGATCTTATCGGAAGGGCAATTTTATAAGGGTGAAATATCATTCAATTTCATAAAAAGAACTTTGCTGCAATTACTACTCCAAAGGAATTTCATTAATTTTTAAATGAATTGCATATTCCTAATTAGATAACAATTATATTTCTTATTATGCAATTAGATATTACAACATAGTGACAGTCTTCGGAGGAGCTCAAAAAACTAGACTAAGAGCTTTAGTGATATAACAAATTATGTACCTTCTTAAAGGGAAATGTGAGAGCTGAAATTGGACTCCTGTAATCATCAGAATCGTCAGGTGTGTAAAGAACTAAATGATACTCAAAGGCCTTAATATTAAAAAAAATAGGCAACTGTTAGATCACAAGTGTCAAACTTGTCACATTACGTTGCCATCACGTAATGTA